GAAAGTTCTAAACTTACATAAGATAGTAAACCTTCTATAGTTATCTTTCATTGATAACACGCTTTCATTTTTACAATGCCTTTTTCATAAAGTCTATTTCACTGTCTGGTCTTTCTAATTTGTACTCCATGTATACACGTTCTTGCAATATATCTCTTCTTTCTAGTCCAAGTATTTCCTTGGAGTAGTTCTTATGTTTGTGTATACCTATTCCAAGCAAAGGCTGGACTCCATCTCCAGCATGCCCTCCTATTTATTATTTGCATTGAGAGCTAATGGCCTTGCTGGTTATTATATCAAGATCATAAAATGAGTCTCCTCCTAATGCCCACACCTCCCTATTTTCTTATGTGGCATACGATTTCACATAGCATAAGCTATGTAAAAATGAGTATTGGTGACTTAAATAAACAATGTGGGATTTTAATGGGTTTTATATGTGTTCTCCTGAAAAGTGACATATCTCTTATTAGAGCTATTTATTCTAATGTGGAGATTTACATTCTACTTAGCAGAAAAACATAGAAAATTTAGGTACAGTCTTGTAGGTTCCAGGACTGAATTAACCTTTCACATGTTACAGGACTCATTATTCTGCTTTTCCTTTTCAGCCCTGTTTTCTGAGACTTGGCTGAGACTTCTGATTCAAAACATTATTTGAAATTGTTTATTTATCCTCAAACCCCCTTCCTTCCTTCCTTCCTTCCTTCCTTCCTTCCTTCCTTCCTATCTACAACCTTCATGCTAAACTAATCTGTATATTATCAAACATCAAACTTGTTTTCTTTTGTCTTTTCTCCTCTTCCACTCCCCACTCCTCCCTTTTGAGAAATGAGTTCTAGCCAAGAATATCCTTGCACTCTCTATGAGCCTTGGATGACATTGAATTTTTATCCTCCTGCATCTCCTTCCCAAATAGTGTAATCATAAGTGTGTGCCACCATATATATATATATATGGTTTCACATTCTCTCTCTTGTGGTTTCCTTTCCATATTCTTCCAACAGAGAATAGACGAATAGACACACTCTATGGGACACAGAACTGGTGGACAGTTCTTTGGCAGAAAGTTTACAGATGAAATTGGAGTTTATTTCACTTCCACGGAAAAAGACACATAATGAATTTTGGAATCTGCTTTGCTTCAACCTCTTGTATCAGCTCTACATCTAACTAAGGGACTTTTAGAAGCCCTTAAATCATCATTGTAATCCATTAGTAGTAACCAGTCTGGTTATAAGATGTACAATAAAATTGTACACTGTGTTTGTGAATATGAAGGTTTATCTAGTTCTTTGTTGATCAACATGTGATGGCAAGTAAATAATAATCACTTAATCCCTGTTATGTATCACCAGGGCCACAGTCAACATTTCCCTTGAATTATCACAATTGCCTTACAGGTACAGTCCAATTACTACACCTGTTGTTACATGCAGATCCAGACTTAAGAAATCTAAGTGGTTTCTAGGGAATTCAAAGCAGTCTGTCGGATTCAAGAAATCACCCAAGAAGTACATTTTGTTTCATTCACAGGATATAAGTGACAGTGTCAGGATTTAATTCTCTCTCTCTCTCTCTCTCTCTCTCTCTCTCTCTCTCTCTCTCTTATTTTTGTTTTTTTCATTTCTTTTCCTGTTTATTTCTGTTCTAAAGCTCTATTCCATTTGGACTTCAGCTCCATTTGAACCTTTTACAAGTTTTCTGTGGGTTAAGAGAACTAGAGACATGGGCCTGAACCTCTCAAACTCTCAAACTCTATTGTCTACAATATATGTTCTCAGCTCATTACTGATAGCTGATATGTTATAACATACGTACTCATAATACACAATATATAATCTCAGATCATACAATTTCATGAGAAGCCCTACTCTATTTTCTGCTTGGTATTGATTTCTTGTTGTCCGGTTAATTTTTCTGCCACTAATTCTGTGTCTAATACTAGGTTTAGTAAATCACTTTCAAAGTAAGTTTTAAAAAGCAAAAAAACAACAATTTGTGTGCTCAAGCATAAATTTAATTTTGTTTTTTGTTTGCTTGTTTGTTTTTTAAGACAAGGTTTCTCTGTGGTTTTGGATCCTGTCCTGGAACTAGGTCTTGTAAACCAGACTGGTCTCAAACTCACAGAGGTCTGCCTGCCTCTGCTGGGATTGAAGGTGTGTACTACCACCACCCTGCTCAAAGGTAAATTTAAAATATATTAAATGTATATGTCAAATCAGTCTTCAGAAATACCAACCTTTCCTTTAATGAAGTGCAAAAATAATTCTCATCCTTACAAACCTTTCCTTAAAAGGATATGTTGGGTCCCCTACCTCTCCTATATGGTACTTTCAGTTCTTTTTTATGAAGACATGAAAATTCTTGACTAGTATTCAAGAAATCAAATAATCTACTTTCTATTTTTCTCTTATTTCTTTAAAAATATTTTCTATAATACACAGACATTCATGTGAACACACATGAGGGAGAGATAGAGAGAGAGAGAAAGAGAGAGAGACAGAGACAGACACATAGAGAGAGGCATACCAGAACACACGTACATATACTTCACAAGTCACATGAAAATTGATATTTCTCAGACAATACACTGGCTCATGTACCTCTGTCCACTTGCTACCTTGGAAAGTTTCTACTAATCCTTCAGTAGTTAACTCATGGGGCTTTTATTTAGGAGTCCCTATTCCCCATTGGACATCACTAAGAAGTTTCCATGTGCACATCTTCTTTAGTTTTGATTTCATTCTATCGTAATTTTTACTCAACTCAATGACCTTATGTCACAACAGCTGCTTGCATCTTTGAAGCTTTCTAACATTAGCCCAATGCTCACACTTCAGGGGTACTCAGTACCTATTCAAGTGTTTTCATAGCCAGTGTTCCACAGAAAAGCAGAAAGCATCAGAGTTGATGGGTACTGAGGCAAGGAGGGTTTTGTTAATTTTGTATCAGAGACTCAAATCTAGCCTTTGTTTCCAGAAGGAAGTCTCAGGTGACAGACAGCACTTGTTATGGTATTTCAATTACTAGTGTAGAGTAACTGAATAATGGGTTATACTGTCCTATAATAAGATGAATTTATGTCCTCATCCAACTTCTTATATTCCAGAACCCAGGACCAATTCATTTTTTTTTTTTTTGTAGTGGCACAGGTTTCTAATACTTGCATTCAGGAAGCTGAATCATGAGTTAAAGATCAGTCTGGGCTACATAGTGACACCCTGTCTCAAACAATCATGAACACTAAACTTTTTCTCTGAGGAGTTTATCTCAATTATAATCCCTATGATTTTTTTTAAAATGTTGAATACTGGGATTTCTACCTTGACATCTGTCTGTCCTTTGCTGCTTTTGACTGATGGCAAGCTCTGGGACTCATGTCCATCTGTTTTAGAACTGATGACCTGCCTTCTGAGCACTGCTTCTTCATGTGGTTTTAGGAATCACTGTTAAGGATATATGCTTTCTGGAAAGTTAGAGCAGACAGGGCTTTTAATCCTTAGCCTTATTTTCAGTTACTGTGCAAGTATGTTTTTTTGCTTCTGGCTATTTGAGTGTCCTTCAGGGTTCCTCTTAGTGTTCAGCTCTTGATAACCATTCCCAACTCCAAATGTCTCTGCTTATTGCTATAGTCCATCTTATCATAGCATGTCATTGTATGTTACATATAAATATAGGTGTCAGAACCCTAGAACTTTCATGAGTGACAAATAAAAAATTACATCAACTTCATTCTAGTAAAATCTGATGCTATTAGTTATTGTGTTATTATTTACCAGCTTTAATTTTACATAAAAAGAAAATGATTGTATTTAGAAATAATGTAACTTAATGTAGAAACTGTTTCTAGATCGTTCCTGCTTGGTGCCATTTCATTCAATTGAGAAATCAGCACACAGAATTATAGCTGTGCTGTCCAATAGGGTAGACACAGGGCTGTCAGATAGACAGTGTGGATGGGATGTTCTATGACTAAAGAATATCCTGCTACTTCCAAAGACCATAAATACTGGAATACACCTCCTTACTAATTTTGATATTATATGTTCAAATGATAATGCTGTTGAAATCTCTTTTACATATTTCTTTATCTTTTTTTTTATGTGGCAGCAATACAACTGAAATGACCTCTATGCTTTGCTGGGGTTTTTGTTTGTTTGTTTGTTTGTTTTGTTTGTTTGTTTTATCAGGCATCTCTGCTTCAGAGGACATGGTTTGTGAGTATTTCATGTTCATAAGTTTATAAACATTGAAAGGGAAGTGAGTACAGAATTATAAGGCAGAAAAAGTTACAAGGGGGTACAGAAAGTTTCTGCTCAGATTTAAATGTTTCAATTCCATGCAAATACCAACATGTTGCCTGCTTGATGATCTTCTGAGAAAACTTGATAGTTTCTCCAGAGGAATGAGACTGAACCAAATGGCAACTGTCTAAGGCTCACTATGTGGCACCTAACCCTGACATCTTAAGATCAATATTGATTTTTTTTTCATTTCTTTTACCATGGTATTTCAATATGCCTTAGATTTATTACTTTCAGGATCCAGGTTAAGATTCAGTGAAGGGCATGATAGCAAGGGTGGTTATAAGTTATGTAGATATTGTTGAATTTATGAACTCTGCATTTCCAGGGTAGCTTTCAGTTTGGGAAATATACTAACCACATACACATAGCACTTAATTTTGTGGTGAGGATTTCCAAGCTGAGTTCCCTATTGTGCCACTTAATTTATGGGCTGACCAGGTATATACATTGCCATACAATATTTCAATGTAAGTTGTGATAGCCAACAGAGGAGATGAAGGCAAGCTTCAGGGAAGCCAGCTGGACAGCTGATGGATCATTTTCCTGGACGCAGGCTGGGGCACTAAGTAGCCTTTGGAGCTTGTCAGCTGGTTGAGTCTTTTTCTGCTCTGAAATGCTGCACACACCAGCCTAGACAAGCAGAATCAGCCATGCTGCAGCAGGCAGAGGGCAGCTCCCACAGTTACTTACGTTGACAGCCGTAGTGCCAGGAATTTCCTGGCAGACACTCATCACATTTAGGCCCTGTTGCTCCAGTCTTACACTCACAAAATCCTGAGCCATTACAACGATCATGGATTGAACCCAAAGGGTTACAATAACACTCTGTAGAAACAAGACAACACACAGGCTGGAGACACTTGGCGTGGCTTAGAGGTTATCAGCACAGGAGCTTCACTTACTTAGATGCATTCACTTACTTAGCGGAAGATATCCATTAATGAAATGCTTTGGCAAATATGCCTATTTCGGGGCCATTTATTTACTTGCTCAGCCTTCCATGGCCTCATTTTTATGATAGGGGAGGAAAATAGCTGAACCCTTCCGAGGAAATAAGACATCATGCTTTCACCAGTAACTGATCATAATGGAGATTCCATTTGTGAGGGCATTTTTTAGATGGTTTAATGAATGCCATGAGAAGTGTGTATATCAAGGATAAATCAATATTCCATCAGTGTAAAATCTGTTTTAAATTATTCAAATGGGTTTATCTGCTACACTCAATATCGGAGAATGGCTGGGCATCTTAAAGTGCAGTATGGATGCACTTTACTCATTTAAAGGTGGTTTTGCTTTACGATTTGGAATGGTGCTTTAACTTATTTATGTGTATCCTCTTTGAGATGAGCCCTTAGAGTTTGCATTTGCTGGGCATGATCACATGGCTTTTATGTATAGTAGATGAACAACCATGAAAGAAAAATAAATTTCACACTCCCAAATAAATCTCATCTCAGCAAAGATATACTTTGAGATGTCTATTTTTCATTGCAACACTTTTTTTTTTCTTTTCAGGGCAAGGTAACTTTTGTGCATGTGTAGTAAAAACCCAATGGAATGTTTCCTTGAGGCCTCACATACTCTTAGCCGGACACCTTAATGTCTGAACTCTATAGTGGTCAAAGCTTAAGCTGGACCTGGGAAACAAACCTGTTTTCCCCCAGATAGTGGTTTGAGGAATTTCAGTTACTCTTATTTTCCCTGGTTTTGTGCCTAGGTCGCACTGGACTGTTTCTCACTTCATAGTGTCTATATTGACTATGAAGTATCCATAGTTTGTAAGTCTGTTAGTAGAGTTACATCTGGGTAGTATGGATTAATTTGCTGCTCCAGTTAGTTCACATTGACCAATGAGATAGGTTTTAAACAAAATTTAAAAATACACTCCTGGCACCTAACCCATAGTTTGTCCCAGTGTTTTCTATAAGAAAGCAAATGTAAGCTTAGTTATGAAAATAAATGGCAAGATTTTCCCTCCTTTGCCTTGTGTGAAAACAATTCAGTTTTCAGACTCATGAAGCTCTACTCAATAGTAGATGGAGTAATGAGGATGGCCATAGAAATAATATTTTATAGCATGAAACGATGAGGAAAATACAGGGTTGTCAGATTGCAAAATAGCATGAAATACTTTGCACAGCTCAGTTAAAATATCATATTACAATTTATTTATGGGCATTGAAATTATTTTGAGTTTCCCTTGTTCTGTGTAAGGTACCTCTGATTACCTGATCCTGGGCTTCAAGGAGAATTAAAAATAATGCATCATAGCTTTGAGTTATGTTTAGTAGCAACTGCAGAGCCCCTTGTTTCTTTCTGTTACAAAGCTTGTTAGGGGAATTATTAATAGTGATTACCCAAGGTCAGAAACCCTGCATCCTCTAGTTCCCTCTTAATGCTCAAGTTTATAGAAAGCAGAAACATGCAAGGATGCCATTTTCATGTAATTGTTGCATTATCGTGGGGGAAATGTCATGTATCTCTGATATTCTATGAAAATTGGGTGAATTCAATAGTAACCACAATGCAAAAACCACTGTAGCCACATGAACTAGCCAGCTACATTGCGTATTTGCCATAGTATAAATTGGCATTATAACATCTTGACAGCCCCTAGACAGATCCAAAGATGTGAGCTTTTCCTTCAAAGCTAGGATAGTGAATCTAATCGCCAATTGTTAAAGACATTTTAAGGCATCTTTTGAAAAGATTTTTTGTTTTAATTTAGAGATGATGTAGATAGAGTTCAAAGTATCTGAGATTGGTACCCAATGGGTTAAGGAAATATTTATTCAATTTCATCATTTTTTTTCTGAAATAATAGTATTAAAAGTAGTTCTCAATTGCTGCAGTAAACCCCCCAAAATTTAATATTAAATATTTCCCTGTAAGGTCTTTTTGCTTTACTTTATAGTGTTTAAATATGAAATACTTTAATTTCATGTATTTTGTACTTTACAAAAACAACTTAGGATTTATTCTAGTCTTCCTATTAACTTTACCTTTTCTATTCTTTCTATATTTATAGTGTGATATTTATATGTTTTTTCAAGTGAATTCAGCAGAATATATTCAGTATTTAAAATCCAGGCAGCTGTGCATCTTTTGGTTCTTATTAATATCCTCGAGTCTTTGTCATTCAAGTGTTAGGGAGGCAATTGGACTCCTGCTCATAAGTTAGCATTGATATGCTGCTGTCATGCAGGAAGCATAATAGAGGTAATAATCTAAGCATCTTTAGCTTCGATGGCCATGCCAAAGTAGTTAGGAGGGAGTGTTCAATCTATAGAATCAAGATGCTCTTTTCTAAGTGTGTGCAAGTTGGGTCAGTCTGTTTTATTTCTTGTCAAGTATAAAAGAGGAAAAAATTATTATTATAATACTTACCCTACTGGTTTGTTAATGAGGACTAATTTTTTTTTTAAGTTGCAGGTCAGTGCATACTTCACCAAGTGTTTCCTGTCAACTTGCTTACAAACAAGCCAGGAGATTTAAATAACTTACCTAGGGCACACAGCTAGGGAATAGCAAGTTGGGACTTGAACCCAGCTCTCCAGCATCTAACTCCAGTGCTTTCTCCACTAATTCACAGATAATAAATAAGGAAGCACTTTGAAAAACAGAAAATACTGCAGACATAAATAGTATCGTGCATACTTGGTCCAAATAAGTTCACAATAATCATACAGCTAATTAATGATATTTGGCAGGAATTTTTGTGACTGTCACACCCCAGGAAAAAAACAGGGATCCAAAACACACAGTTGAAATGCAAAACTGTTTCTTTTTCCTTTTTGATAAAAATATCACTTGTCAGTGTCCATCTTTTATGCTCTAATTTTTCAACGCTACTGAACTTGAACTCTGTGGAACTAGTCTTTTAAGAATGGTAGCCTGTATAATTTCTGGTGTGGTGACAGACATCACACTTCAAACATATGTAGTTTTTAGAGGAAATTATAGAATGAAATTCCATTTATTGTTTTTCTATCAGGCTTTCTCACTGGTTTTGAGATAGGGTCTCATGTAGTGCAAGATGGTCTCCATTCACTATGTAGCCAAGGCCTGCCTTAAAAATCCTGGCTTTTTTTTTTTTTTTTTTTTGCATTTACTTGCCATCTGTACAGATTACAGGTCTGCCCCACCATAGATGGTAGGAGAAGCTTTTCTGAAAGGAAAGGAAGGGGCACTTGATTCTTTACAGGTAAGAATTAGTCATGAGGGAAGATCTGCCCTCCTAGGACCATGTTTTCTAAGGCTAATGTATCCTATAATCTAACAATTTATAACCTGGAGAAGTTGTGAGAAATTACTCTTTCACTGGGGAATAATAGGAAAATCCAATAAATGGAATTTCACACTTGTATATGGAAAAGGTGGGTAAACTTCCTCATTAGAAGTTGCTAGTCGCTTTCAGTTTTTAATGGCAACACTTTTATGTACCAATACTTGTAGTTTCTACCCCAAAGTTTCATATTTAATATAGTTAATTATCACTTTAAAGGTTGAATGTACAACTTGAGGTGATTAAATCAGGTCGAATGTGTATCAGCTTTTAAGATTTCATGCAAAAAAAAAAAAAGGCAAAAGGAAAAAAAGAAAATAGTAAAGAACGGAGAAAGAAAATTAGAATATTCTTCATTTTCTAAATACGATTTCTCATGACATCATTGTGAAGGTAACAATATCAGGATTCAAATTCTACCCTCCCCCCACCCTCCAAGTATGACTTTATCCAAATGCAAATGAATTTTCAGTCTACTACAAGGATATTTACTCCATTGATGATATTCATTCTGGCTCAGCTCTTTGCAGACCACCAGACTCTCCACCCTAACCAGATCCCCATAGCTCCAAAGGCACAGAACAAAAGCTGAAATCATAAGGGAACTGACCTATGCACACATTCTCATCGTCCAGCTGTGCAGAAGCATTTCTGAAGTAGCCCAGCCTGCATAACTCACAGTGCTGCCCTCTAGTGTTGTGTTTACAGCTCACGCAAATGACTGTGTTTAGCAGATCGATATAACTGCACCGATTGGAGTGGCCGAAGCATTCACAGTCTTGCAAGGAAGAACAGAAATGTATACAGAATGTATACAGCAGCAGAGATATAGCACGCTACATGCTTGAGTGAAATGAGGGATGGAGAAAAGATGGTGGAATGGCATTACACACATGGGAACCAACAAAACACATGGTGACAACAGGTGGTTGTGACCAGCATGAAAGTAGTAGCTGTTTCAAGCAGGATAGAAAGGTTGGACAAACACCACTAAAGATTGTTAATTCTTAGCAGACAAGATGAACAGAAGCATTTGCAGGCGAACACCTTTTAAAATTTGGGAACGCTCAGTTTCAACTGATGCAAAAGTCTAATTTTGCACATGAAAAACTTTACTGACTTTGCATCATTTTTCCCATTTTCCTTCCATCTTTGCAATCCTAAAAAGAGGGAAGGAAGCATATGAGCACCAGGTGTGTGGATCTGATGACTCCCATGGCTCTTTTGTCTCACTATTTTCTTCCTTACTTCCTTTTTTTTGTTTGTTTGTTTCTGTTTTTGTTTTGTTTAATACTTAGGTGGGGCTTTATAGACATCATGTCAACTTCATAAGGACATCTAGCCAACTACACAGGCTTTATTTGTTTTTCTTCAATGCTAAGAGGATATGTCTTTCTTGTCCATGTCAGATAAAATACACATGATTATGTGTTACAGAAAACACAAAACATAGAGAGATTATTCCTATGGAAAAAAAGCTTAAAATATCCTTCTCTTAAGTTAAAGATACCTACTTTACCCCAAATTTACTTTCTGTTTTCTCTATAAAATGTCAGAGATGCTCATGAGGTGGGGTGTGGAAAGTAGTTAGATTTTCTCTCTTGCATCTCATCCAACACAAGAAATTGTTCTAATCTAATTCAACCTTTAAGAAGAAATGGTCAAGATAATTCCTTCATTGGCATTAATAGCTATTTAATAACTCACAAAATTGGGAGGGACAATTCTGTGGGAATCAAAGCATGGGGAGATATGACCAGATGATATTTATAAGGAAACTGAAGTATGATTCTCTAAACTGTGTCTATAAATAGTCATTTCGTTAATGTCTTATCTTTTATTTTACCAGCTTAGGAAGCTGAACGAAGTCATTCATTTATTCTTTCATTCATTCAGTATTTTATTGAAACAGCCTCAGAAACTACTCTACATGTTAGTTTACTTTTTAACTTACATAAATGTTTTTCAGAAATATAACACTTTGGTGATCAGAGTAAAACTGTGTATATAAATTAAGATAGAATAAGGAATGGTGACATATACATATACCATTATATACTGTATTTACTATGCTTCCACTTATCGAATAGTGTAGATAGATTGATCAGAGATCTGGTTACTTCAATAGACACCAAGATCAAGGTCAAGATCCAGATGAAAAGAAATCCAATTTGGCTAGAAGAAGAGGAGGACACAATGTGGGATATGAAGAAAAGTAAAAGAGAGACATGACAATATCAGTAGCTTATTGAATCTAGTGGCTTTAAAGAGAAGCAAGAACAAGGCAGGAATCTGGAAGCCATGTGGCTTCCTTCACTGAAGATTAGTGATATAGCTGTGTAGAGAATAGGGCTGTGGATGAAACGAAGGAAGTCTCAGGAGGAAGAAAAGAACTGACAGAAAGAGGTGTGGTCACTTCAGCATGAGAATAAAAGGATATAAGTCTACAGGGTGGGTAAGAAATGCCATATCAATAACAATAGTATATATAGATAACAATCAAGGTATAGATCTTGAATTACTTTACAAGTAAGTTAAACAACCCACCATACCTTCATTTCTGTGATGGCACTATTTGTGGGTCCTGTTTGAAAATTAAGTTATTAATTTGATAGAATTAATAATTATTTTAGAAACCATAAACTGATACACATGTACTATTACAAACATATTTCCAAAGGTAAGTGGATATTAAAAATCAAAGATATTCTAGGAAGTAGGCTAATGTTAACTTGATTTTTTAAGATGTCTAGATTTTTTTCGAGATCTTGACAAAGCTGCCTTTTCTGGCAATGACATATTTGAAAATATAAAATTGTATGATAATTTGAAAATTATTTGGAAGACATTGGAATAATATATAGATGAAATACTTTATATAAATATAAATTGTAATTGTATATAAATTCATTAAATTGTATAGAATTTGGGTCTTACCAATTTTGGTGTATGATGTTTTAATTTATTTACATTTTTATAAGAAAGGTTATAAAGTTATACAAAAGGATAATCCACACATGATTATTATACTGCCCTATGTTTTTCAAGGATATTTTTAATTTACCATCCTTTACTTTCTAGGTTCTTACCAAGCAGAGTCCATGAGTGATTCTTTGTGAGACAATTTGATATATTAACTGTTTGACAATTCTTTAGCTCTTCAGTTCTCTGTTCTACCATATCTTTTTTTTTATTTAATTCATTATTTTACATGTCGATCCCAGTTCCCCCTCCCTTCCTCCCTCAGTCCCTCCCTCCCTCCTTCACTCACTTTTACCCTCTCTGCCCTCTCACATGCCCCCTGACCACCCTCCCCTCCCATCCCCCCACCCCAATTCCATATGCAGGGCAATGCCATCCAGGCGGGGTCATGTAGATCTGACAGGTCATTTGAAGTAGGGACTAGGGCTTCTCTCCTGTCTTTAGGTTAAGGCAGTTATCTCTCCATGGGGGATGTGCTTGCAAGGTCCTTTTGTGCACCAGGGATACATCCTGGTTCCACTGTCTGAGGTCCCTTAGACTTCTCAGTCCTTCTGGCTGAGACCCATATTCAGGGGTGCCTAAGTCAGTCCCATGCTGGATTCCCAGCTATCAGTCTGGGGGCCTTTTAGCTCCTCCTTGTTCAGGTCAACTGTTCTATCTTCTACCATATCTTCTTATCCCTTCTTATGAAATCACAGAATCTATGGTACCTTCTTACAACCTCACTTACTTCTATAAAGTTTATTGCCCTCTTACTTCCACTCCATCTCCTGGGAAAACATATTAATGATTAGGTTAAATTAATTACCTCACCATGCTGAAATGTTAGCAGCCACACATGGATGGGAATATATTTTCTAACTATTTTGAAAGACGTTTCATTGAAGTTTGTTTTCATTCACTGCAGTTGAGTCCTCTAGATTACCTGACAGTCCTTCCTAAAAGGGTCTCTGGATTATCACTCTGTGTTGATCTCCTTCCATATTCATTATTTTTGTTTTATTTTATATATTTGCTTTTTAAATATCTCAGAGTTTAAGTCTTTGGAACTTTATGATCTTTAAATGCACCCTTGATATTTTCTTTTAAAGTTAAAACTCTATCTATAAGGAGATTTTAAAATCGTATCTATTACAAGACTCCAAATTATTATTTTCCATCCTGAATTAAATCTCTAGTTAGTGAGACTCCATTCAGATGCATATCTTGCACTAAGTAGTCTTCTCACCATCCCAACTCGGACACTTAGCTAACATCTTAACATTAAGATGTTTGAATTATTGGGGTTCCTTCCTAACCTTGCTGCTCAGCAGATGGTTCCATCTTAAGAAGTAAAAACATCCTTCCAACTACATCCACTGCTTAGGTTGAAATCCCAAGCTGTCCTTTGTATCTCTCTCTCTCTCTCTCTCTCTCTCTCTCTCTCTCTCTCTCTCTTTCTCTCTTTTTTCTCTTCCTACAACCAACTGAGGAGTTGATACACCTGGCAATGATTTTATATTAGTAACAAAGCTGACATCTTCTATCCATCTCTGCCATCTCATCCTTAGCTCAGATAACATCACCCTCATTATTGTCATCATCTTTAAGCTGCTCTTTTAGGCAGTGAGAATGGCCTAATGAAAACTCAGATGTGACCAGGCTACCTCACTGCTCAGAGTCCTAATGGCTTACTTACATAAGGAAGTTCCCTGATTCTTAAGTTTACTAGCCCTTGACTTTTTCTGGCTCTTTCTATTTTCGTCTTCACTTGTTGCAGTATCCTATTTCATTGCTTTTAAAACACACTAAGCACATCTCAGTGACTGCATTGTCTGTCAGCTAGGTTGGACATATTCCTCTCCAGACATCTTCTCAAACATTATTCAGTTCTTGCTTTCCCACTTTCTGAGTCAAGTTCCAGGCCAACGAAAATTCTGAGTACTTTATCTGAAGTAACAGCCCCTCTAATTAAACACTTTCATCTTCCAATTCCTTAGTCCTTTTGATGTTTACTGAGCTACAATATCTGAAAATTGCATTTTAAAAGGTCTTACTGTACATTCAGTGTAACACCATGTGTATAAACAACATCTACTTTTGTTCTTAGCTATAACCACAGAACTGAAATCATTGCCTGATATATGCTAATCACTCAGAAATTCTATTGAATGAGAAAATAAATGAGTGAATGATGATCCTAAAATGCCCTCCCTTGGGAGGCAGAGAAGACATGGAGGAAAGTTACGTTTAAATTTATTCTCTTCCTATTCAAATCCCAAGAGAGTCTGACTATATCCTGCACATTAAACAGTTTAGAAAAACAGCACTACACAATATGATGTAACCAAGTTAGTGGTTATATTAGCTGAGTGAATACATCTATGTACAGACCAGTTTAGGAAGAAAAAAAGCAGGTTTCTGCAAATTGTTGTGCCTTTATATTTTTAAATTTCATATCACATTTTGATGTATTATATAACAAGCATGTGTTATTACTTCTGTAAACAGCTGAAGTCTTTAAAGCACACACAAAAATGAGTTCATGGTGTGACAGGGAAAACACGGGCAACAAGTTTGTCAAGATTCTCCTGTACCAGGCACCTTATGTGAGGAGGTAAAGTGAAAGAGGTCAAGTCATACTTAGAGCCAAATACTTAATTGGGTTGGGCTCTCCTTGCACTTTTGGAAATTCAGAAGCACCACCAGTCTTAGAAACAGTAGAAAACCCCAACATGCAACAATCAAATATGTGTCAGCCATGAACTAGTGATCTACTTGGAAGATATTTACATCCACAATTATGTCTTGATCTAC